AAATATGGCTAAAAAATACATAGATTTTATTCAAAGAAAAACAATTATTGTTAAGGTTAATCCTTGTGATGATAAAATGGAGGTTTTCAAAACAATAAAAGGGAAGAATAGTGTTATTACAAAAAGATCTATCTAGGTTGATAAGAATATGATTTTTCCTATTCTTGAGAAATCCTCACAAGGACCCAAGAAGTTATGGGTTCCTAAATCTCTCTGAATTTTATAGGTAATGCGTGACGAACAGTTTGACTTTGAATGGCACATAGAAAGTGGTTGTTCGCGTCACATGATAGGAAGGAGAGAAGAACTAAGGGAATTTTGATCATTGAAGGACAATGGCATAAAAAAGTTTGGAAACAATGCCACAGGGGAAACTAAAGACTACGACATGATTACGAATGGAAAATTCTTCATCCGAAAGGTAGCTTATGTAGAAGGCCTACAACCTAATATAATTAGCGTGTCTCAATTGGTGGTAGGTATCGGGCTGAAGGTGTCATTTAATGATGAGGAATCCGAGATTATAGAAAAGAAATCAAAAGCAGTGCTTCCAAAATATAACAGAAAGGGAGAAATATATCCTTAGAACTTAAAACTGATCAAAGGGAAGCCTTCCATTTTCCTTCTTACTAAAGCATCTTTGGATGATAGTTTGTTATGGCACTGAAGGCTCTCGCATCAGAATTTCAAGGACATCAACAAACTTGTACTTGGCGATCTTGTATGAGGACTCCCTCTTTTGAAGTTTGAGAAGGAATATCTTTGTGCAGCATGTGAGCTAGGAAAGCAGAGTAGGGAGAGTTACTCAACCATTATCAACGCCAATATAGTCGATCCACTTGAACTGTTACACATTGATCTTTGTGGTCCATATTCCATCGAGAGCATTGGTGTTAATAAGTATATTCTGGTGATTATTTATGATTTTTCAAGATTTACTTGGGTTTTCTTTCTTAGACAGAAATCAGATGCCACTTAGAAGCTAAAGGATTTCATCAAGCAGATTGAACTTCAATTGCAAAAGCCCGTTCGAAAAATTCGAAGTGATAATGGTTCTTAATTAAAAAAAACCAAGCGTTTGAAGAATTCTTAACTGATAGAGGCGTTGTTCAAAACTTCTCTACTCCCTACACTCCTTAGCAGAATGGTGTCGTTGAAAGAAGAAATCGCTCTCTTTGTGAAGCTTTTACAACGATGATGTCATTCACAAATCTTCCACTCTAATATTGGGCTGATGCTATCGAAACTATTTGTTTCACTCAGAACCACTCACTGATAAACCAAAGATTCTTAGTCACACCTTAAGAGGTTTTGAATAATAGAAAACCTAACGTTAAATTCTTTCATATCTTTGGTTCCAGGTGTTTCATATCCACTTCTAAAGAGCGAAGGAGCAAATTTGATGTGAAAGAAAATGAAGGAATCTTTTTATGTTACTCTCTTACTTAGAAGGCTTATAGGGTTCTGTAAAAAAGTCGAAAATGACCAAGGAAACCTATTATGTCACCTTTGACAATAATTATCTGAAGAAGTATTAGAAAGCTGATTGTCCATCTAAGGATATTTTTCCTTCAACAAATCCAATGACAATTCCTCTCTAAAATATTTATGTAGAATTTCTGAACTTGTTCGATGAGCCAGATAGAGCCATTTCCTCATAATCAAAAGCAAACGACAATCAAGGGGATGATTTAAAGAAATTTTTAGATGAAGATGCCAAAAACATCAAAACCACTTCAGAGACACCATTTCCAAAAGCCGCTAATCGACCATCTCAACCAACAACTTCTGATGCTCCATTCTAGGGGGAGAGATCTTTAACTGCAAATACTGATGCTCCAATCCAGTGGGAGAATCTAATTCTGAATGTAAAGTCACATGCAAACTTCCAGGGGGAGAATAAGAATGAAAATAATGACTTCGATGCACAATCGGAATTTGAAGAGGTAAATGTAGAATTAGATCCAACTTATGATCCGAACTATCCTCCATTAGCCAAATGGAGCAAAGATCATCTTAAATCTCAAGTAATCGGAGCACCACCTTCAGGATTTCTCACAAGGGAACAACAAAAAGTGAATCAAACTGTATTATTTTCAAAAATGGAATTTTGCATGTTTAATTTGTTCATCTCTAAAACCGAGCCTAAAACCGTGAAAATAGCTCGTGATAATTTAGATTGGGTGCAAGCTATGCAGGAAGAACTCAATGAATTTGAGTGTAATAAAGTTTGGCAATTAATTCTTACTGCTAAAAATGCATATGTGGTAGCATTAAAATGGGTATTTCAGAATAAGCTTGACAAAGAAGGCAACGTAATTTGGAACAAGGCAAGATTAGTTGTGAAAGGATACTGTCAAGAGGAAGGCATAGACTATGAAGAGACATTTGCACCAGTTGCAAGGCTGGAATCCGTTCATATTTTCCTTGCCTACCCAGCTCATAATATTTTGGAAGTCTATCAAATAAACGTGAAATGTGCGTTTTTAAATGGTGAACTAAAGGAGGCAGTCTATGTGGAACAGCCACCAGGTTTCGTAAATGAAAAATATACAAATCATTGTTATATTTTGGATAAGGCTATGTATGGTCTAAAACAAGCACCTCGTGCATGGTATGAAACCCTAACTTGATTTTTGAAATAAACCAAATTTAAACAAGGTTCAGTCGACCCAATCTTCGTTTGCAAGAAAGATGGTGACCATCTAATGCTCGTCCAAATTTACATTGATGATATAATTTTCGAATCCACTAATCCTAGATTAACAGCTGAATTCCGAAAACTGATGGAAACTGAATTTGAGATGAGCTCAATGGGTCCAATTAACTTTTTCCTTGATTTAAATATTAGACACTATTTAGAGGGTATATTCATTAAGCAGGAAGCCTACACGAAGACCTTGCTTGCAAAATTCGGAATGGTGGGAGATTCAAAGGTCAAGGGTCCAATGGCGTTCTGAACAAAGCATACACCAACCTTGGACAAACCGGCATCAGATATAATTCGATATCAATAGATGATTGGGTTGTTAATGTATCTAACATTCAGTCGTCCAGATATATTGTTTGTTGTTTGTTATTATGCTAGGTTTCAGGCGAATCCTCATGATTCACATATGATTGCAGTGAAGAACATATTCCGATACCTAAAAAGGACCACCTCTTTCGGAATCTATTACCCTTACAACTCATGTTTCTTTGTGCAAACATACTCCAATGTTGATCTTGGTGCATGTAGTCTTGATCATAATAGTACAATCGGAGGATGTCAGCCTCCGAGACTCTATATTTGACGCCTTAATGAAACTTTCACGCCGATCATTTCTTCCTAATCAGTCTGCTATTCACATAAGTCATTAAGCCACCTTACTCTTCTCATATTGAGTTAATAGTTGAGTGCTTGGTCATTCTTTTATAGCAGAGGTGCATTTTTCTCTTCGGAACTATCTCTAACATTTCTCCATTAACTTTTCATTCATAAATGTAACCCTTGAGACTCTCAGCATTACCACTGAGGTTTATCGTTACAAAACATTTGTGTTCATGATCTTTAAATCATTATCACAACGATTTAAGTGAAATCCAAAATCCAAAACCTATTTCTGAATTGACGGTAAACAATTACTATGTTCTAGATTTTTTCACCAAGGAATTGACGCATATAGCCTTTTGGTTGGTACCTTAAAAGTTCGAAATATCATTTTTTTTTTTAGTTTTTGAGTGATTTTTATGAAAAGCTCTCGACCCAAGACTTTTCTTCCTAAACGATCCAGTTTTATTTTTATTTTGAGATTTTAAGAAATATCTCATCACTAAATATAGATCCAAATCTTGCTTGTTATTATGGGTACATTGGTCAAACAAGTACTTCTTTTAGACTTTTGAACTTATATTAAGGTTTAGATCTTGGTTGATGCTAAAGCCACCCTTGAAGCCTACTAAAAAAGAAGCCTTTCACTATTTCTTATTAAATAGATGATCGTAATTCAATGGGAAGCCACACAAGCACTTCCAAGTCTCTCTTGACTTAGAAGGAAGAGATCGTTGCCCGGGATAAATCTGAATTTCATGTCATTTTTATTTGACATCACAAAATCCCATAAAATTATTTTACTTTATTTCTTTTTCTTTGGCACCCTCTTGCATAAAAATCTTTGTGATTTTTCCAAGTCTTGTTCTAATTCATGTGGATTACTATTATTCTGAATACATGATATGATGTATTTACATTCACTACGAATGAATCAAAACTAAAATGGCAGTTTTCTTGGGGGATAAAGATTCAAATTAAAGAGTGTCCTTTTTCAATGATTGACATCACACATGTCAGTTGTAACGTCGCCTGGAACTTACAGCTGTCGCATATTTCTAGGCCACTTTACCGGGGTATGGGAATGTCAAATAGAGGATTTTTCTCTCTCCACTCATCACAGACGTATAAAAAGGTTTTAACGGCTTGGTTTCTCTCACTACTAAGAAATTATTTGAAATCTAAAAGCAAATAACCACTTTCTCTCTACTATTCATCGTTCTCCGTATGGCTACCATGGCTGGTTCATCTGACATCGTTATTGTTGCTGATCAATCAAACTCTATCCTCCCATTGAACATACAGTTGGGTTAAAATTTTCTTCTTGATCTCATTGCCTCACGCTACAATGAAGCCCTAAAGCCAATGATTGAATGTATGTGTTTGTCAACACTAGCTCAAGATTTGACCGTGGCCGAATCCATTCCTCTCATCCATCTTTCAAAGGCATATTCCTCTGCATCTTATGTTCTAGTGGATGATGTGACTAACTTTGAAGTTTATTATCGAAAGACTTCTATCTCATAGTCTCGATTCTACAGGATTCTAGGGTTTGATTCGACCGAAGGGCTTGTTGATCCTGACTTGATTTCCCCTACATATCTTATTCATATGTTCTATCAAATGGGTTACCTTGGGAATATCACATTGCTATCTAAGTTCAGGAAGCCAAATCTTCCTACGATGTGGAATGGTTTATTTACGTTGCTATTCAAGAGTCTTTCAGAATGCGTTGCTGGATCTAACAGTGCATATAAGCTCTTTTATACCATTATCTTTGGTCTTTTATCATGACATCAAGTTGGATTATGGATCGATTCTTCGGATGCAACTCATTCAGAAAACATCTTCATCTACTCGCAACACTGAAATTTCTGGTGCTCGCTTTTCGTCGTTAATCGTCCATAGACCCTTAGTACACTTCAAGATTCCTTCTGCGGATGATGTTCTGGTTGCTGTGATTCCTATTCTACAAACTTCATCATTCATGATGTCAGATCCGACAAATTTTACTTTTGTTGGATCAATTCCGGAGCAGATCCTCGTAAGGGTACCTCCTTTAGGTTCTCGCCCTATGTTAGACGATTTACAAAAAACGATTGAGGAGGCAAACAAGCCAAAAGGGGGAGCAAATCGAAAGGGCAAAGTTGTTCCTTCTGAAACTATCAAAACACCAAAAAATAAAGTTAAGAAAATTACTCGGAAACAAAATGTCACTTTCTCCAGTGGTACAGGGGGATTCGGAGTCAAGAACACAAACTGATCTTCTGAAGGGTGAACCTGTTCAAAACGAGGTTGAAGATACCATAGCCACTTCAGGGACCACCTACTTCAAATCTAATTCTAAAGGTATCTACTCCACCTACCTCTTCTACAGCTTTTTCTAATTTCTTTTACATGCCCACTCCTCCACCTTTTCTGACTACCACTTCAACTCCCATCACCACCACTGTACCAATAATTATTGCTCCACTACAAAAGATTTATGTGGGTGTTTCTCAACCACATATTTCTATTCCATTATACACTACATTCTATTCAGATTCAACAACTACAACCACAACCTTTCTTAGTACTCTAATGTCTCCTGTTAATGTATCTGATACGGGGGAACATGCCGATTTCAGTGTTACTATGGGTCAAAGCGCATCAACAGCTTCACCATTATGAGAATATGATCTAGAGGTCATGTTTGGGGGTGATCAGGATGATTTTCAGAATTTTGTTTTTAGCCCCTTCATGGTTCATAAAAAAAAAACCATGATGATGAGGCCCTTATAATAAAAGGTAAATTTAAACAACTCAACGCTAAATCAGATTCACCTTTGGAGTCATCTATTGCCTCTTCTAGCTATGGGTTTATGTTCAAGTCTCATCGAGCAACGGTTGAGATTCTCACAAAAGACAATGAAAAAGTCCTTGAAGACCCAACCAATTCGATCCATGCATTAGAGAAAACTATGGTTGATACGACTATAAAAGTCGAAAAACTACATGCTGAAGTGACAAGGTTTATGGCTAATTTCCGAAGCTCTGCTGATCAGAACACTGAAGCAGCAAAAAAAGTAATTTCAAGTCTCGTCGCATCCTTACAAACTGATAGAGAAGCCCTTTTCTTGTGTTCATGGTGAACTCAAGGATGACAATTCTAAAATGAATGCCACCATTGTTTCGAAGATAGAGTAGCTTCAACATGATCTTGCTGCTAAGAACACAATCATGGATAAATTGGTTGTGAAGACTGAAAAAGCCAAGGTTCTTTCCCTCAAAATCAATTTTGTTGATAAACACCTGGTTAATCTAGAGACTAAGAAAGCAGTCATCAAAAGCTGCATTTCGGAAATTAATTAGTACCTACAATGTCTAGTAGAAACTCGGGATTATATGCTTACTATTTCGGTTCGCCAACGCCTCTCTGAAAAACTGACACCAGTGTCTATGATGTTAAACTGCATTGAAGGTGTTTCGGAACGTGATGTTCTTCTTAAAAAAGGGGGAGAAAAGTTATAGAAAAAGTAGATCCAAAGCCCCAGGTCAAGAAGCCCACTGATGGTCATCGTGAGGAAAACCCGAAAATAGATCTGAAGGTTAATGAAGCTTCTGGATCTAAAGGGAAGGATAAGATAATTGATGATGACGAAGAATAAGAAATTCTTTCGAAAGGTGAAAAACTTGTGAGAAAGAAATAACTCAAGGAGCTAGATGATATAATGATAATTCACAAAGAATTAGAAGCAAAGGAAGCTGAAGCTAGAGTTGTGAAGGTTACTCTAGACACACAAATGTAACTTTTTCCTCCTTGGTCTTTAAAACGAATTTAGAAGGAAGCGATCGATGATCCGATCATTCACTGGTTGGATGTAACACCTATGTTTCTGGGCTTGTTATTAATATTGATATAATAGTCTAGGTTAACCTTTGTAACCCGTTTTGAAATAATAGAAGTGTATTATTTGAGTATTATGTGTTTTGTGCTTAACTGTGTGATTTAATTGAATTAAGAATAAAAATAAGCGTCAAAATGAAATTTTAGGTATGCTCGATATCTACAAATAATGTTGTAGTAGTCGAAATGAGGTTTCTAAATATATAAAGAATGTCGAAATCTGAGTTATAACGAAGAAGTTATGATTTGTCGAAGTTTCGCGACAAAACCGGCAACGTTGAATGACGTAAAAAGTGAAATTTACGTTAAAGCGATATTTAGCCTTAGTGATCTAAACGAAATTCGTAGAGTTCGTTAAACCAAGAGCGTACATAAAAAGAATACCCAAATCTGACTTCGTATGAAGAAGTTATGATTTTTCGAAGTTTCGACTTAGTAGTATGCAACCCGAATACTCGATTTAAGGCCGAACGGTTTTTAGCCGAAACAATCTAAACGAGAATCAAAGATCTCATTAATTTTAGTGAAACGATAAAAAAGATAGGCGAAAACGGACGTCGGATGAAGAAGTTATGAATTTATAACGAAGTTTTCTTGTCCCGGCCTACTAAAAATAAACTCAAAGTTAGTTGACGGAGTCTAAACGAAAGTTGTAGAGCGTAGTCTCACCTACGCGTGGATATAAAGAACATTAAAAATGGAGTTCGTATGAGGAAGATATGAATTTCTGAGGTTTTTAAATAATTAATATTTATTATTTAATCTTTAATTCGGATGGATATCCGAAGGAGTCATTGATCTAATCTGAACTACGCCCAACGTAGTTGAGTACACCCAGCGTACGCCGATGCATGCAACGCCTCGCACTCAAGAGCTCCGATGATAATTTCCGAAGCGTATGCCCAGCGTAATGCGATATAAAAGGCATGCAAGGGCAGCTGGCTTCTTTTGCCAAATTCTCTCCCTTTTCCCCCGTTTTGCATCATTTTACGTGCTAGAAATATCCCAAAGCCCCGGTATTAATCCCGATCCCCTAAGCAAGTCCCGAAGCCCCTAGGAACCCGAGAAGTAAGATTTCTTAGCCGAAGCTCTGCCCGCGAGGAGCCCGGTTTTCATGAAGATCTTCCAGATCTAACGAAGAATACTACTTCTGCAAGTCGTAGTGATGTTTGATCATCTTCTGATCAAGTGAGTGTGTAGTTACTTTCTTCTAACGCATAATTATGAAGTATTTTATATAAAATACATGTTATGTGTATATTTTTGTTGTTTTAAGTGTGAAAGTATATTCACTTTCTTCTATCTCATAGATCTGATTTATTCTCTATGAAATACGTGTTATATGTGTGTGCCTCATCTGTTATATGGAATATGTATTGATTGAACACGCTATATTGGTTTTAAACTATGTATAAAATATATATTATTTATCTACTAATATGTTGGGTAGAACATGGGTAGATAGTTGATGTGTGATAAACAGATGAGAGGCCTCGATGTTGTTGATGTTAACCTAGTCATCTACCGGAGTATGGATGACGACAACAGACTCTTTCTAGACAATCCAGTTGAACGCTAGCAGGTTCATAACCTGTAGGTGTTATGAACGATGTGTTCACCGATGTACTCTATCCCCCTCATGGTTGCCTTTAGGATATCTATTGTTGAGGAAACCCCTTAACAGTAATGTCCGTCCCGATGAAAATCCTGGATTAGGTCCCTTGAGATAGATGTTGTTTTAGGGACATAAAGTGAGGATAAAGGGAATGCGTAATTGGGTTATTGTTGGTTGGTGAAATTAAATATAATTATTTATTGTGGGTTGAAAACCCTATATGCTCACCAGGCTCCCAAGCCTGACCCACTCGGTTTTATTTGTATTACAGGAAGTGGCGCTAGGGCATAAGATGGATGAATCATCGAGTTATTTGTTTACAAGTTTGTATATGTATATATTTGTTGAATGACTTGTAATGTTATACTTTATGCTTTATGGTCTGTATCGGAACATGACATCTCGAGTTTTGATTATATAATGAAAATGCATCTCTTGATGAAATGCTTTGATAAATATTATTTTATCATATTTTGTTTTTGGGAACAAATTCCACAACTCTTTTAAATCAAAGGGATTTAGTCTGAAATTATTTTAAAAGTCATAAATGAAATCGGTCTTTTCTAGCCGAGATTTTGGGGATGTCACATTGGAGCCTTCAGTATATTTCAAACTGAACAATACCATTGACTCTCAGTTCGACTTCCCAGACACTTTGAAAACTAATCCGAAGGTTAATGAAGCTTCTGGATCTAAAGGGAAAGAGAGGATAATTGACGATGATGAAGAAGAAGAAGTTCTTTCGGATGGTGAAGAACTTGTGAGAAAGAAACGAGACAAGGAGCTTGATGATATTCTGATACTTCACAAAGAATTAGAAGGAAAGGAAGTTGAAGCTAGAGTTGCAAAAGGTTACTCTAGAAACAAAAATGTTGTTTTTTTTCCTCTTTGGTCTTTAAAAAGAATTCAGAAGGAAGCGATCAATGATCCGAGCATTCACTGGTTGGAGCCTTCGGTAGCTTTCGAACTGAACAATACCACTGACTCTGAGCTCGACTTCCCACTTACTCCGAAAGCCTTCCCATTCCGAGGCTTCGCTCATATTAAGAAAGCTTCATTTTCAGACTACAATGTTAACAATATGCTTTTCTCATTTTATCTCAAACATGGATAACCTCAGTTCAAGATATGGAGCCTAAAGAAGATTGTTTTTGTGGAAGTTTATGCTCCTTTTCCAACTGAAAACTTCACAAATGTCAAATTTAAGGGTAATTTAGATGATTTTGTACTATAATTTTGTTGTTTTTGGTATTATATTCAATGAGTTACAATGCTTCAAAGATGAGATATGAAAGCTGGAATATTTCAGCTTGTTCAGCAAAAAAATTTAAACTTTTGTATTGTGTGATATTTTTTAAACAAGCATATCTCATTCATTTTAAATTTGATTGATATGCGGTTTTTTCCAACATGTAATTTAGAGTTTGTAAATGATTTTAGACTATAATTTTGTTGTTTCTAGTGTTATATTCAATGAGTTACATCCTTTAAAGATTAGATATCAAAAGCTGAAATATTTCAGCTTTTCAGTAAAAATCTAAACTTTTGTATTGTGTGAAATTCTTTAAACAACCATATTTCATTCGTTTTAAGTCAGATGAACATGCGTCTTTTTTCGAACATGCAATTTAGAGTTTGTAGAGGATTTTAGACTATAATTTTGTAGTTTTTTGTTATATTCAATGATTTACAATCCTTCATACAAATGGTTTAAAGTATAAATAATCAAAGTTTGATCAGTCCAAAGGGTACAATAAACAAAAACGTTTTCATTTTTACGAGTTGTATTGTATCAAACCCAAAAAACTATTCATTTTAACGAGTTATAACATATCAAACCTAACAATATATTCATTTAAATGAGTTGTATCAAACCTAAAAATTTCAACTACCATCATTAAAGTTGTCCTTCTTCACCACGATAGTGAAAACAAAAACCAACAACAATCATAAAAGTTGTCCTTCTTCACGATTGATAGTGAGGTTTGATGGTAGAGATAATGATGGTCGGTGATGGTAGTGGTGGTCCGTGTAACAACTGGTTATTTTGGGTCAATAAAATTCAAGCAATTCAAACAAAGTCAATTAGTAAAACAAAAACACCTTACACTTTGCCTTTAGGATTCTTGGTTTTAGGATCGAAAACCTTAAATCTTAAAGAATTCAAAACCGAAATCACCCTTAGTGAGTGGCACCTAGACAAAAATCAGTTGGGGCCGAAGTCGCCTTTACCAAAATCCCTCCACTGAGAACACTTATGGACCGATATCCTTTGGCCGAAAACATACGAGACTGAAATCCTTTGGACTGAAATCAAGGAGATTTCGGTGGGAGTTTTGGACCGAAATCAAGGTGATTTCGGTGGGGATAAGCCAAAATCAACCACCTTATCCTTTGGCACTTTTATCAATGTGATAAAATACACATTTCAATGGAAAACTGAAGTCAATTTTCACCCCATATATAAATGTTGAACCGAAAACCTGTCACACCGCCGAATCGGAGCATCAGAAACGTCGGGGGGCGAATCAGGTCATTGTATACTATCATAACAGTTTAATAAAAATCAAACACTACAATCCAAACATATTTTTTTTGTTTATGCTTTATAAGAATCAGAGTACCACTTTTAATAAAAATGTTGTGGAATTTTTTCCCAGTAAAACATAATAAATACCTTATCAACGCATTTCCATAGAAAAACTATTTTTATTCATTTAAAACATTCGGATGTCATCGTCAATAAAGAAACAAAAGCATAAACAGAACTTACATTCATTATCACTAGTGATCTATATCTCCTTAATCTCTCAGTGTAATGTGACTTCATATCAACACCTGTTATATAAATACATTGAGTGGGTCAGGTTGGGAAACCTGGTGAGTACATAGGATTTTCAAACCACAATAATATAATTATTATGTTTAATCATCAAATAGTTAACCCAATTACCCATCCCCATTATCTTCTTTACTCTTAAGGATCTAACCTAAGCATCATTATTTCTCATTCATTCATTCCTAAGGATTATCCTAAGGAATAGGTACGAAGTCCATCGTTGTCAATGAAACAGTTTTCAAGCACAGCTACTAGTTCTATCACTTAGGTGCAACTACCATAATTGTGACATTCTCTATGAGGCGCAGCTGCTAGTATAGTCCTTCGAGCATAGTTTCTAGGGTTATTTCGTTTATTGAAAGTATCGTTTTCGAGAGTCCACTTGCAATACATGTCAATAGGTTTTTAGATTACACCGGTGAACACATCGTTCACAACACCTACAGGTTGTGAGCCTGCTAGTGTTCAACTAGACTGTCTAGAATAGTCTGTAGTTGTCATCCATACTCTGTTAGAAGATGGGGCCAACATTTGGGAACATGGCTTCTCACATTGTAAACCTCTCACCCTTACCTCATAGTTTATATCACCTCTCAACTCATCACCAAATTCATATTTCAGGTACCCATGTTTTACCCAACATATTATGTAGATATAAATACATATACAGTTTAAATCATATAAAACTTGTATAAAATCGTTTATCCAACATCGATAGCAAGTATACAGATAATATGCACACATAGCACGTAGTTTATATAAAATACTTCATATCTATGTGTAAGATGAAAGGGACCATACACTCACTTGAAAAGGTGGTGACTCGGTATTCGGACAACTCTTCATTTACTTTAAACAACTCCTTTGACAGAACCTAGTATCATTACCACTAGATTTTAGTCTAATATTTGTTGAGACTAATTAATAGTCTATCAATTAGTACTATTATATAAGCGGTAAACAATACTCTTCACCCACTATGTATAGACAGGGTCCAGACATAAAACACCAGAGGGTAGGACCATTTTGGCATATAGCACTTCTGAGATCCAACATCCCTATGCGGCAGTTTAAACTAGATTCCCCGTACCATGGATGGTTAAAAGATATTATAATGACACTTATATAACTCATAATAATTTCCCAAATATTTATTATAAGGTCCTAATAACATTACTATATTGAAACATAAGTTATACTAAAGATAAGCTAGGCGTAGCTCACTTAAAGCGGGTTTTCTCGAAAACCGGGCTCTACCGGAGCAAAGTTTCTGAGATGAAAGACTCTTTTAGGAGCTGTCAGGCACTCTGAGGCTTCTGCCTCGTTCTAGCGAGGTTCCCTAGGCTTTTGTTTTGGAGGGGGGGAGGGGTGCTTCGGGGCTATAGAGAGGTTCTAGAGTGAGAGGGAAGTTATGGAAGGTGTGAGGAATGAAGAGGCCTTCACCTCTTATTTATAGGGGCATGTAGGATCACCCACTTCGTGAGATTTATGATGCTCACATCATGAGCCAGCTGGAGACAACCATGCACAGCCTGGTGCTGAGACATGGCATCGCACACAGGGTGGAAATCAGTCGGTTTTCATAAATTCATAACATGTGCATACAAATTCCTTTTTCGACTTTCTTTATATCCACGCATAGGTAAAAACAAGATCTACAACTTTCATTTAGACTTCGTCGGCTAATTCTCGACCGATCTTAAATGTAACATTAGGAGGAGATTATATTGTTAAATGTCCGCATAAAATTCATAACATCCACATACGGACTCCGTTTGCATCTGTCTTTTTATTGTTGAGTTACTATTAATGAGATCTTCAACTCTCATTTCGGTCTCATAGGCCAAAAACTACTCGAACTAAAATTCGAGTTTCGGGTCGTGCATTGCTATGCTAAATCTTAGAAGATTCATAACTTCCTCATACAAAGTCAGATTTGGGCGTTCTTTTTTTGTATGTTATCGGTTTAATGTATACTACAACTTTGTTTAGACCACTAAGGTCAAAAGTCCTTTATCAAAAATTCACTATTTACGTCTCCCGGTGCCATGCTGGTTTTGCCGTAAAACTTCGACGGGCCATAAATTCTTCGTTATAACTCGGATTTCGGCGTTCTTAATATGTACGGAACCCTTGAGGCATATTCTACAGTTTGGTTAAGATTATTTATTCTAAATAATATTTTTTCAAAAAGTCATTTTCGACCCTTATTATCCCTAAATTAACTAGCCTGGATCTACTGGCGTTACAATTATCTCCCTTAGGATGATTACGTCTCGGAATCATCAACGAAACAGGGTTCACATGATGACTCCATACGTTATCTCTTCATCCTAAGTAATAACGGTAACTTTGATGTTTCTTCGAATGAGTACCTAACTCTAAGACTTCCTGACTGCAGGAAGTGATCGATCTTACTCCCGCTCTCTATCTCATCTTAGACCTTTAATCATGACCTTCGATTCACAATCTCGATCCTTAATGGAGACTCCTTCTTCTTAATGCACTTTAGATAAGTCCTTTGATTTCCACAATGGACTGATGGGTTACCTTCTAATGACCTCTCATCGTATGTTGCAATTCTTAGACTAATGTCTTTTAGACTCAAATTCCAAAACAAATTGCACCTTCCTTCATGTTCTAAAGTGATATAATCACATTCTAACATGTAGTATTTCTAGCTACAAGCTTCTTACTTTAACGACGATTTGTGATACTTCTATTGATCGCTTCGATTATCTTTCACTTCAATCTTCTTTATTAAGTAAGATGCTACATCGAAATTGGTTCTCTGAACCACGTATCATATTCATCTTAGTCGGACTCGATTTGAGATGACCACTAGTGTTGGAATAGTAATCATCTTCTTAGTCATTACCGAAATGATGGTAACAACAAACTTAAATAAAACAGTATCAATTACTAGCTTCTTGGTAACCTTGTGACTTTCCCTGATCTAAGCATGATTCATGTGATTTCGGTAGTATAGGCATCTACTACCTTTCACACCTACTCATACTCGTCCCAAGTATTGTCTCGTAGTTCTCCAAGTTATTATCACAAAAACAATTTTAACACATACAAATGTGTCCAAACAATCATATAATTTTTCTAAACAAATGTGTCCAAACAATCAAGCACAGCTACTAGTTCTATCACTTAGGTGCAACTACCATAATTATGACATTCTCTATGAGGCGCAGCTGCCAGTATTGTCCTTTGAGCATAGTTGCTAGGGTTATTTCGTTAATTGAAAGTATCGTTTTCGAGAGTCC